CTAATAAATCTAGTACCCCTCTGCCCATTACATATTACAATATTATTGACTATATTCCTTATGCTATACTTTATATCTCCATGACTATTTTGTAACTATCCATTGGTACTTCTTAATCCCTTTGCCCTTGTTGACCAATTCTTCCCAACCTCCCCTCCTATTTGGTAGCCCTCAAAATAATCTCTATGAGTTTCTGTATGTGTTGTTGTTTATTTTGTTTTTTAGATTCCACATGTACGTGAAATCATATGGCATTTGTCTTTCTCTATCTGACTTACTCCATTCAGTACAGTTACCCCTAGGTCCATCAAGGCAATAACTTTTTTCCATCTCCTTACTTTTAGTCTGTGTCTTTAAATCTGAAGTGAGTCTCTCATAGGCAGCATATGTAGGAGTCTTGTTTTCTTATCAATTCAGCCACCCTATCTTTTGGTTGGAGCACTTAATTCTTTTTCATTTGAGGTACTTGTAGTTATTGCCATTCTTTATTCATGTTTTTAAGACATATTTTTTCTTCTTCTTAAAGAAGTCCTTCCAACATTTCCTGTAATACTGGCTTGGTGGTGATAAACTCCTTTAATTTTTTCTTGTCTGGGAAGCTCAGCTGGCACTTCTGCCTGATTTGGATCCCTAGACCAATGGGCCTTACTGGCCATGGGGCCTATTCTATGGCTCTGCTCGAGGAAGGGAGCAAATTCACAGCCCTTCCCAACTGCTAAACATAGCCACCAGTCCCACCACACCAGAAGGCCTGGGTACAGAGGTTCAGCACCCACAGAGCACATCTAACTGTCCAGCCAGGAGTGGAACAAATTAACAGTACCACCCAATTGCTAAGCATAGCCTTGAGTCCTAACCCTTCAGGAAGCATGACCACAGATGCCTGGCACCCACAGAGCACATCTTACAGGCTACCCGGGCAGGGGAGAAATTCGCAGGCCAACCCAATGGCTGAGCATATCCTCTAGTCCTGTCACTCCAGGAAGTGTGGCCACAGATGCCCAGAAGCTGCGGAGCACATCCTGTGGCCCACCCAGGCAGGGAGCTAACCCAGGAGCCCTGCACAACTGTTAAGCATAGTCTCTGACCCGGCAAAACCAGGGATCTTGAACAGTGACTCCGAACAGCCTTGGAATCCAGCCTATGGTACTGCCCAGCTGCAGAGCACAGCCTACAACTCCACCCAGCAGTAGATCCTGACCTGTGGTCCTGCCTGATTATTGAACACAGCTTGTGGCCATTCCCAGGCAGGGACCTCAGCCAGTGACCCACCCAATAACAGAGCATAGACTATAGCCCTACACAGCCAGGGAACCAACACAATGACCCAGGCCAATCATGGAACAATTTCCAGCCCCACCTAGCTGTGAGGTACAGCTAGAGTCCCTGCCTAATCAGAGGGCCTGGCCAGTGACTTCTCCCAATAGTGAAGCACAGCCAGTGGCATACCTGATCACAAACCCCAGCCCGCAGCCATACTCATCTTTGGGGCACAATCTGCAGTCCCACCTGATCACACAACACGACCTGAGGCCCTGGCCAACGGCAAAGCTTCGCCTATGGCCTCACCTGAACACGGACTCCAGCCAGTGGCAGCAGCCAGTCAGGAAGTACAGCATGAGGCCCCACCAAACCAAGGTCAATTGCAGAGCACAGCCTGCCACCCTGCCCAATCATGGAAGCCAACCAGAGGCACTGTCCTATCAAGGAGAACAGCCTGCAACCAGAGGTGTTTGCAGAGCCCAGCTAGTGGCCCCACCTGACCATAGAATATAGGTCACAAACCCACGCAATCAGGGAGCCCACCAGTAGCCCTGCTTGTGTACAGAGCCAAACCAGTGGTCCCACCTAACAGGAGAACCCAGCAAGTGGCAATCCCATGACCTTAGAGTACAGGCAGTAGTTTCAAACAGGGCTTGCTACTAGAGACCCTAGTAGCAAGCCTTGTTTGTCCATATATGCTACAAACTGTCTAAATCAGCTGGAAAGGAGACCATTTACTCAAGTGTACAGTTACTAACACAAGGATGAAAAGATCAAGAAAAATCAGGTAAGAGTCCTAGTTAAGATGGTGGAGTAGGTGAACATTGTGCTTGCCTTATCCCATGACTGCATTAAAACTGCAACTAAGATGAACGGAAGTACTATAAGAATATAAAGAAGCCATCTTGAGACTAGTAAGACAGGTGAAGACGGGAAACGGGCTGGCCCTGCACCCACGTGTGGCAGTCAAGAATTGAGAGGGACATCTCAGCTGCAGAGATCCACCCTGAACAGGGAGGGAGTGGCCCCAGTCCCAGACAGGGCTCCCCAGCTTGGAGCCTCGGTGCCAGGAAGAGGAGCCCCCAAAACTTCTGGCTGTGAAAATCAGTTGAGATTCCATCTGTCCTGGTGAGGTGGAAGGCAGCTGGAAATTCAGGCATCCTCTTAAAGGGCCTGCACACAGACTCACACTCCCAGGCATTCACCAGTGAGGGACAGCAACTAGAGTGGTGACACAGACATACAGGAAAAGACTGAGTTGTATGACCACAGGGTGACGGCTGGAGGGAAAGCCACCATCACCCCTGTGTTGAGCCCTCCTCCTGTGTAGCCAGGGGGCTGAAGCAATCTTTCCTGTGTTGAGCCCTACCCCACACATTAAAATGTGAATTTTCATTGGCCTGGTGAGCCCTGCTCACTGCACCCTGATGACTCCCTGGGACTCTGTCTCACAAAACTTGCACACCACCAGAGGCTTTTTCTCTGCTGGCAGGAAGCCACTGTTGGCCTGCACTGCAGTTTTTCTTAGACAGCTCTCGGGGGTCTGCAGGCCCCAGGCAGGTGGTGGCTGGCCTTGGTGGGCTCTGAGACTTGCGGAGTGGCCCCAGGCTCAGCCCTGGCACCAAATCTGAATCTGCATTAATCCACTGAATACAAGTCACAACGCTGGTGACTCCCTGAGACCCCTGCCCTAATCAACTCTCATGCCACTTGTACCACCTGAGGCTCTTTCAGTGGCTGAGCTTTATGGATGGGTAGCAGGTGGTGGCAGGCCTATGGAGTCCCTCGGCCTTTTGCTAAGCTGCCCCAAGCCTGGTGTTGGTGATGACCAGCCTCGATTCACAGCATGGCTTCTCCCACATACCTCCAGGTCCAACACAGGCAGTGACCAGCCACAGATTGCTTTGGAGCTCCTACCAGAGATTCCTAGACCAGTCACAGGTGGTGGCTGACCTTTGACTGCACAGGAGTCCCTTCCAAGAGACCCCAGAACCAGCATACCCAGTAGCCAGCTTCAAACCATAACAGAACACCACCCAAGTAGCCCCACAAGTGACACATCCAAAGGGTGGTCTTGGCAGGCACCAGAGCCTGCTGGGATGTATTCCACTCCATGAGATCAGCTCCTGCGCAGCACTTTGTGTGCTGTGGTTGTGGCCGATCCTCACAGTAAGCCTAAGGGCCAGTCCCACCTACTGATGGGCCAACAGCAATCAAGGCTGAACTACAGCAGGAGAGTACAAAGAACCCACACAAAGGACACTCCTGGAACATACAGCTTAGGTAATCAGGGAGACTGTGCCACTCGGCCGCACAGGACACCTACTACATAAGACCACCCTGCCAAGACTGGGAGACATAGCAGATCTGCCTAAGACATAGAAACAAAGACAGAGAAACACAGCATGAGGAGAAAAAGAAACACGTCCCAAATGAAAGAACGGGAGAAAAACTTCAGAAAAAGAACTAAATGAAATGGAGGCGAGCAATTTACCAGCTACAGAGCAATTTACCAGATACAGAGTTCAAAACACTGGTTATAAGGATGCTTAAGGAACTTAGTGAGAAGTTCAATAAAGAGCTAGCAAGCATTAGAAAGGACATAGAAGCCATAAAAAAGAACCGTGAGAAATAAAAGAATAAAACCCAGTAATGTCAAGAAGAACTCATGCCTTGAGTCCTAAACAAGTTTCTTACTTGATCCTAGAACCCAAGATATTTGACTCCCTGAATTCTGGGTTGTCTGATCCAGCCATATCGTTTCTTTTTTAGGTGAAGATGTTTCTTTCTTAGTCTAGGGCTTCTTAAATCTTTCCAACAAAATCCCCTTAATACTCAGAGGGAAAGCCCACTGTTGGGAATCTGGAGCAGAAGCAAATGTTTCAAAGGAATTCCCTTTGAAAACTTAAAGTATACTTACTTACATTCTTCTCCACAATAAACTCGTGATTAGATGTAAAACAAATACATAATTATCCAGAAAAATCAGTTTTTTTCCTTCAGTAAAGTTTATGCTTCTTGAAGGTGCAAGAACAGTTGCATCTGGAGGGAACTCTTCAGAGTTCAGGAGCGCGAGGCTCTTGGTCACAACGATCACGCGGGCCACCTCATCACAGTCCCGCATAAACATATCAGAAGCGCAAAAAAGTCGCCACACAATCGAGTGCGCTGTTTTTCAGACACGCACTCAGTGACTCACATCCGTGGTCTGCAGAGAAGGTCCAAGGAAAACAAATCTCTCAAAATCGCGCCGCATAAATGTTCGGAGGCAATTACACGTTCACAGAAACACAATCTCACGGCCTCCCAGTCAATCCCATTATCTATCTCACAGCTTCCTATAACTTTCAGTCCTACATAGCCTGACACACAACTCCAGACATAAAACCTCCTTCACAAACCGCATTCTCGTCTCCACAGTCGCAACGTCTCGAACACAGACCAGCCACATCCAGTGGAAAAAAAATCGCACCCAGAACCACCGCAAACCCAGACAGACACACAGCGCCGTACCTGGTCACAGAATTCCCAGCTGGCCCCCGGGAAGTCCCAGCAACTCACAAGTCCCTTTAAACCCGAAGCTCCACCCCCGGGGCGGGCCGAGCCTGCGCAGTGAGTGCGCGCACGTAGCGCTCCCAGCAGCCCCTGCGCACGGCCCTTTAGGCCCCGGCGCTACCGCGCTCTCGCGTTGCTATTGGGCGTCGCGACGAGAGCGATTCGGCGCCCCAGGTGCGCAGTCCTGGCACGGAGCATCGGCTCCGGCCACCTGTAGGGACGGTGTCGCGGCCGGGAGGAGAGGAGAGGCGCCGCATCAGCGGGGAGGGGGCCGGGGTGTGCGTGAGATCGGCGGTGGTGTAACGTGTGTCTGTGGGCGTGACGGGCCCGGGTTGTGGCACGGGGATCGTGTGCGATCGTGAGGCCCGGACTAGTGGGTGATGCTGTTTTCGTGACTGAGTTAGGTGCAGAACCCCTTGTGTGACCGAAGGTGCCCGTGGCCCCTGTGCCTGCGACCCAGGTGTCACAGCTGAATCTCCTCCCTTCCATCCGCGCGGGCCCAGCCGCAAAGAAATCGCTCCCCGTCCTGTGTCTGAGCGCCAGTGAAAAGACTGCCGGCAAAAGGCTCAGTCCGATGCAGGAAAAGAATTTTAGCACCGATCGGGCCCCTCAGTCTGGCTCCTGGGCGTACGTACTCCCTTCGCTTTCATCCTCGGGTGCGAGCGAGCGCGCGACACACACGTACCCAGAGCTCTGAGGGGGTCCAACGACCGGTTTCAGAAACGCGGAGTCCCTCCGGGAAACTGCTGTGAAGTCAGATGCCAGTCCCTGTGACCTGGCCTTTCTCTAAGGGTCAACAGTGCTCTCCCTGTCACGTCACTGTGGATATGTGTGGATGGTGGCTGGTGGGGACAGGTGTGGTTGCGACGTGCCCTGATTTAGCCAAGCTGGGCTGGGCTCCCGTTCAGATTCCCTTTTTCTCCGGTTCTGTCACAGCCGAAGAAAAGGGCGCTGAGGAGGAGGAGGAGGAATGAACTTATTGTCCATTTAAAAGGCAAGATCAATTTCTTCTTGTTCTGTGAAATGCATTTTAATTTTTTAGGACATGGGTACAGTTGCTTCCTTCTCTTTAAATGACCTGTCCATTTGATTGATACCTAGGCCCCCTCCCTAGTGCCTGTGTGCACATATTTACTTGGCAGAAACTTCCCATTACTTCTGAAAACTTTGTTTTTATAAATATGTGTAAACCTCTTAAAACAGTATCTGATACTTCACAAGTACTGAATAAGCATTAGCTAGTTGTTGTTATGCGGTAATTTAGGACAATTTCCTATCCAACTAAATAGATCAGGAAAAACGCAAATATCAAGCTAATCGTGTTGGTCATTGCAGTTTTTAAAAAATGAGATGCCCAAATGATCTGGAGTTGAAATTCTTAACCAAAGGTAATTTAAATCCATTTGGGGCTTTCAGGGTACCAGAAAACCCTAGAAATGATATGTAAAATTGTTGTGTATATTTTAATGTGCCATTTTTCTGAGGAGGAAGTCCATAATTTAATGAGGTTATCAAACATGACCCAGAAAGATTCAGATCCACTGGTCTAGATTCAAAGACTCTAGTATCTGAGAATGTTCTTTGAAATTACCTTAAATAAATTAATGTCTAACAGTAGGAAATTATTAAATAAATATCACTTTCTGCAAGTGATTTCACTTTTTCCCACTATCTATGCAGTGAAATTTCAACCCGCTGCATTGATAGGATAATTATTATACTACATAGCAATCCTGAGGATAGTTCATGTATATAAAACAATCACATGAAAGCTCTCGATGAATAGATATGTGTTCTCATCTACCTGCTGAAAGTAGGAATTCACACCTCTTTAACCTAGGTTGTAGGAAAGACAATGGCAGATGAAGTCATACAGGAAAGCAGTGTGGATGATTCTGATTAAAATAGTGAGAAGCCCAGAAGATTCTGGAAGTTTTAATACCCTGGCTGTAGGTAGGCAGGGCTGCCACTGCAGCAGTTTGACAGTGGTACTAGCTGCCAAGGTTGGTCCTTATGAATTTCTGTTTGTCTTGGATGAATCCAAGCAGGCCTGCAAGGCTTTGAAAGAGATTCTGCCTTAGAAGATGTGGCCCCTTATCAGTCCTGAAATTTATAAGTAAAGATTAGATTTGTCCATATTCCCTCAAATCTGTGTGTGTGTGTGTGTGTGTGTGTGTGTCGGGGGTGGAGGGGGAGGAGGATAAGGACATATTAACCAGAATTATTCAGGGAATTCTGAGGCTTATCTAATCTCATGGCCTCCTTTTTTCCCCCTAGCTCTGGCCTCTGTGAATTCTGGTTCTCCAGGCAAGTAAACCCCAAGGAGGACTGACCAGTTCTTGAATTTCTAAGCCATGGCCCATGTAAGTTACTCTTTCTTTCTCCTTCTGGAAGTACTGTCATGTTAAGATCCGTTGAAAATTTCTTTATCCAGAAACTTCCTCCTTATCAGAACCCCATCTAAGAACATTCTCCCAATTCCTCTAAATCCAGTGATGGGTGAATTTAAGGAAAGTAATGTCTATCCTATGAGCCCTCTTTTTTCTAGTCATTGTTCATGTCTTCTTTGAACAAGTCATTCAGCATCAGCCTCAGTCTTCTACTAAGAGGTGCAGTGGAGCAGAAATTAAATCCCTTGAGAAAGATGTTTGACCATCTCTTGTGAGTCGATTATAGAGGATGGGCCCAATTTGACTATTCACTGGAAAACTGACCTTTTCTAACTTGAGTTTTCCAAATACACGAGATAAGATTTGCTATTGGTTTACCTCACCTTCAGCATATGGTAAGGTCTCATGTTTTGTGAGGCTTTTAGGACTGGGTAGGGATGTATAGAGAGATCAGGAATCTTCTCTGGGAATCCCTAAGAGCTGTCCACCAGGAACAGGGTTCCATTTGTATTTGAACAGAATGTGCTTGTCTAGAATGATGTGTTTGTGATTCTGGGTCACCGGTATCCAGAATCTACATAAGCATCCTCTAACTCTGGAACAGGAATGCATATAGTGAAGGATGGACAATGATAGTAGGTAAGAAGATCATGTAGATACATGAATAGTTGTAGACCCTCAGAACTGAAGAGGACCTTAAATATTTTGTATAGACCAAAAATATTTAAGTAGAAGAGAATGATTAAATCTCATACATCCATTTATAGATTATTGTATAGCCAGCTATTAAAAAGTTCATTAAAGAATCTGTCATATATGGAAAAATGCTTATGTTATGATCTGATTCAACAATAAACTTGTAGGGAATTCTTTAATTGTGCTCAGATCCTTTCCTAACAGATATTGCAGGGAAACTTTTTTTTTTTTTTTAAGTCCATTCTTTAAGGGTAAAGGGTGGAAGAACTCAATTTCTTGAGAATTTATGAGGGAGACATATAGCAAGGAGAAGGCTTATATACAGTAGTTTATTTAGCTGGAAAACAAATTGCTTTTTTCTTTCCTTGACATTTTTGGATAATTAAGATATGCCTGAGTATATGATGCTTCGAGAACACATAGGCTTGCTGCTTCGGGTGCAATCATTTCCTAATTCACTGTGTTACAGCCTTCCAACCCAAGCCTGTTTGCTTGCTTGTTCCATTTCCTGCAATATCTATTCCATCTTAAAACAAATTGTCTTTAATTTTAATTGCATTGTAATTTTAATTGTATGGTTTGTCATTTCAGGGATCAGTGATATTCAGTGACGTGTCCATAGCCTTCTCTCAGGAGGAGTGGGAATACTTGGACTTAGAACAGAGGGACTTGTACAGAGACGTGATGTTGGAGAACTACAGCAACTTGGTCTCATTAGGTAAAGTTATCTGCCTCTGGTAACAGACTCTGTTCTCTGTAATGTCAACTTTCTTCTCTGGAAATTTCAGCAATATATTTCAAGAAATTATCTAAATTTTTGGTCCCTGTTATCAAGGGAATGGTTTGAACTTTATTTGAAAGTGAGCACCTCCATTAAGCATATTCATCTTTTTCATCCTTAAGTGGTCTTTAGGCCTTCCTTAGTATTGGAAGGACTGGATTTGAAATCTGAGTGATTTATAGCCCTGTCAGTGTCAAAGAAATCAGATTTCACTTTGTGTTTGAACTTAAAATTGCTGTATATATTTCGTTATTGGTTGGTATCTCTGTAAGGAAAATAGCTACACCTTGATTTTTTTCCCCTTTGGCTGTCAAAAAAACACATAATTTTTGTGGTAAGTTGGATCAACAGGACTTATTTATAATTCAAAAGAACTTATTCACTTTTACTTACTCTTATGATTGAAAGTTAAATATCCAGTCTACGGCCATGCCACCCTGAACAAGCCCAATCCCGTCTGATCTTGGAAGCTAAGCAGGGTCGGGCCTGATTAGTACTTGAATGAGAGACCACCTAGGAAGACCAGGTGCTGTAGGTGTAAAAAATAAAAAAAAATAAAGGGATTGTAAGCTGACAAGGTCTTGTAGTCTGCGAGGTCAACCAAGGGTTGCCTTGCCTAAAAACAGTCTGCAAGGTCAACCAAGGGTTGCCTCGCCTAAAAAAAAAAAGAAGAATTTAAATATCCAAGAATTTTGCATTTAACTTTATATGAATATCCTAAGACATGCTTCAGGAAGCTTATTGTTTTCCTCTCAGCAAAATAATAACAAATAGCAGCTGATAAAATATACATAGCTCCTAGTATGTATTGTACACAGCGTTTAGATGTAAATAAAAATTAATATAACCTTTAACAGTTGTATAAGATAGATACTATTATTTTCCCAATTTGGTAGGAAAGTAAAGCATAGAAGTAACTCATGTTACTGAGCTCAAGGGGTTCTCTCTGTGCGTATCAAGGCCAGAGGAGACATGGACAGGAGTTTGCAGCAAAGAAAGTAGAGGTTTATTTGAGGAAATGACACCAAGCCTGGAGACACAGGTGAGCTAGTGCTCAAAGACCTGGCTCCCTATTGGCCTCTAGGGCATAGGTTATATAGAAGAAAACTCTGGGGTCGTGGGCTCTACTGATTGGTCTGGGCTAGGGTAGGAGTCAGTTGATCGTTGCATCCGGCCCTGATGTCAGTCATGGCATCATTCTGCCTGGTTTCGAGAGGATGTGGCCGGTAGGGTTGTTCTGCCTTCATGGGTAGGTCAAGATGGTATTTTTAGTTTGACCTAAGAAACTCTTTTTGTGGTCAACAGACATGAGTCTTTGTTTCTGAGATTGTTCGATGCCGACCAGAATCTAATGTCCTAAGAGCTTAGTGATTGAGGGAGTGGTCGGGCAGTATGTGCAAAGGTGGAAGGATAAGGAAAGAAACGAAGCAAGCGAGTACAAGGCCAGTTTGAATCAAGGAGAAAGAGAAGAGAAAAAGTCATTTTAAAGAACTGAAGATTTTCATGATTATGCTTGTCCAAAGTCACACAGGCAGGATTTGTACCCAGGTATGCTGTGCTTTCGAATACTGTTGCCTCTCAAGGTGTATTTATATGAATACAAATTAAAATAAGACCTTTTCTGTCTCTCTCTAATCTGTTTATTATGTAACCTTAATGTGAATTTTTTTGACCATCTTGCCCTTTGTTCTAAAAGCTTTTATCAATTACCATTTGACTTACAGTTTATTAAAAATTTAACCAAGACTGAATCAAAGTAACTTTTAATTTATTTTTTATTTCCATATCACCTTACATTTCTTTTCTTCTAACCAGGATGCTTCATTTCTAAACCAAATGTGATTTCCTTATTGGAGCAAGGTAAAGAGCCCTGGAAAGTCGTGAGGAAAGAAAGACGATATCCAGGTGAGTCAAGGCCAACTGGGTTACTTTTTGTTAGATTTATTGTAGTGCCCCTTTTTGTTCACAAAAGCAAGGTAGTTACAAATAAAATAAGAAAATAAGCAGAATAACAATTAGAAAAATTAATAAATATGTAACTTCAAAAATGTATATTGATATATAATATCTTATATACATATATAAATACTTTTTTAATACTTTTATTTTTCAATTACAGTGGCATACGATTATATATTAGTTTCAGGTATACGCTAGTTATTAGATATTTATATAACTTACAGGGTGATCATACCAATAAATCTAGTATCCATCTGACACCGTAGTTATTACAATCCTATTGACTATATTCCTTATGCTGTACTTTACATCCCTATAACTACTTCATAACTACCAATGTACTTCTTAATCCCTTCCCCTTCTTCTCCCATCTCCCCATCCCCCTTCCCATTTGGCAACGCTGCCTGGGACCCTTTGCTCCTCCAGGGGGATCTCTGCAGCCGAGATATCCCTCCTGATTTTTAACCACCACACGTGGTTTTGGGATCACCCCTTTCTGCGTCTCTGTTCCTCTCACCTGTCTGGAGATGGCTTGTTCAGTATGTCTTTAGTTGTAGGACTTTCATTTAGTTAGACTTTAGGCAATTATCAATGGTGGTGGTTCTGTAGTTTAGTTGTAATTTTGATGCGGTCATGGAGGGAGGCAAGCACAGCGTTTACCTACTCCACCTTCTTGACTGGAAATCTTAAAGGAAGTGACTTTTAATCTAAGACCTCAGGATGAGAAGGAGACAGCCATGCAAAGAGCACAGTCAGAAGCTTTGTGGGAGATAGAGCAGAAATGTCCTAAGAGATTAAAGTAATTTGGGACATGTTCTGAGATCTGAAAGAAGCCCTCTCCTGGTAGCAGTAAAGAGGACATTGTTGAGATCATGTGTTATATGCAGAGTTGGATTTTATTCTAAGAATAAAGAGAAATTGTTGAAAAAAGTTCAGTATGAATTTTCAACCTTTAATCTCCATCAGAAGAGTCTGGAGAATATTAAATATAGGCTTGCCCAGGACTGTAGAATCTGATCCAAGAGGTGTAGGTGGTATCTGTACCTCAATATTTGTAATAAGTTCCTCAGTGATTCCAATCCATGTCTCACTGACTTAAAGTGTTTATAGGCATAGCTCAGATATACTACAGGTTTGGTTTCAGACCTCCTCAATAAAGCAAATATCTCATTAAAGAAAGCCACTCAAATTTTTTGGTTTTCTAGTGCATATAAAAGTTATATTTATATTATACTAGTTTATTAAGTGTGCGATAGATAGCATTATGTTTTCAAAAATGTATATACCTTAATTAAAAATTACTTTATTGCTAAAAATATGCTACCGAGCATGTGAGACTAGCGTGTTGCAATCTTTTTGCTGGTGGAGTGTAACATCAAAGATCGCTGATCACAGATCACTATAACAAAACAATAATAATGAAAAGCTTGAAATAATGTGAGAATTACTAGAATCTGACACAGATACGTGAAGTGTTGGAAAAATGGTGCCAGTAGACTTGCCGTATGCAGGGTTGCCACAAACCTTTAATTTGTAAAAAAATGGTAATATCCGCAAGGCGCAATAAAGTGACACAATAAAGAGAGATATGCCTGTACTTAATCACCAATCTCACGTTCTTAAATCAACTCTCTTTTTTTTTGGTGTTCCCTTATGGATTTTTTTTCTCAAATTATATAACCGTTTTTAGAATTTCATTGGAAATTACTTTGGTTATCTTTTATTTGTACTGTCAGGAAAAGGCACTACATGTTTGCTCTCTTGTTTTCTTTCAGATATGGCGATCAGGTATGAGACCAAAAAGTTATCTTCAGAAAATGACATTTATAAAATTAACTTATCCCAGTGGAAGATAATGGAAGGAATTAACAACCATGGCCTTAAGGACCTCATTTTAAAAAATGATTGGGAGTCCAATCGAAAATTTGAAGGACAAGAGGGATATTTTGGTCAAGTGAAAATTACATCTCAGAAAGCGCCCTCATACCAGAAACGCACATCTCTTACTCCACATCCTAGAATTCATTTTGTCGAGAAACCCTACGAATGTAAGGAATGTGGGAAGGCCTTTAGAGTACGCCAACAACTTACTTTCCATCACAGAATTCATACTGGTGAAAAGCCCTATGAATGTAAGGAATGTGGCATGGCCTTTAGACAGACTGCCCACCTTACTCGACATCAGAGACTTCATTCTGTTGACAAACTGTATGAATGTAAAGAATGTGGAGAATCTTTCATATGTGGCCCAGACCTTAGAGTACATCAGAAAATTCATATTGGTGAGAAGCCCTATGAGTGTAAGGAATGTGGAAAGGCCTTCAGAGTACGTGGACAGCTTACTCTCCATCAGAGGATTCATACTGGTGAGAAACCCTATGTATGTACAGAATGTGGAAAGGCCTTTAGACAGTATGCACACCTCACTCGACATCAGAAGCTTAACATTGCCGAGAAACTCTATGAGTGTAAAGAATGTGGGAAGGCCTTTTTGTGTGGCTATGGCCTTAGGGTACATCACAAACTTCATACTGGTGAGAAACCTTATCAGTGTAAAGAATGTGGGAAGGCCTTTAGAGTGCGACAACAACTAACACTCCACCAGAGAATTCATACTGGTGAGAAACCCTATGAATGTAAGGAATGTGGGAAGACCTTTAGTCGTGGTTATCATCTTATTCTTCATCACAGAATTCATACTGGTGAGAAACCTTACGAATGTAAAGAATGTTGGAAGGCATTTAGTCGTTACTCTCAACTTATTTCACATCAGAGCATTCATATCGGTGTTAAACCCTACGACTGTAAGGAATGTGGGAAGGCCTTTAGACTGCTCTCACAGCTTACACAACATCAGAGTATTCATGTTGGCGAGAAACCCTATAAATGTAAGGAATGTGGGAAGGCCTTTAGATTGCGCCAAAAACTTACTTTACATCAGAGCATTCATACTGGTGAAAAACCCTTCGAATGTAAGGAATGTAGGAAGGCCTTTCGACTTAATTCATCTCTTATTCAGCATCTGAGAATTCATTCTGGCGAGAAACCCTATGAATGCAAGGAATGTAAGAAGGCCTTTAGACAACATTCACACCTTACCCATCATCTGAAAATTCATAATGTAAAAATATAAGGAAGGCTTTTCAGTCCTGTGTTGTAGAACACTCTATGAGTGTAATAATCCCTTTTGCTTCATACATGGGGGAATTTAATGTATTTTACCATCATTCAAACCTAATGAACTTCACATTCATTCTAAAAACGAATCTTACTAATATAACAAATGTGGGAAAGACACTTGCCTCGATCTCATTACTTTCCTACATGTGTTATATTGAACAAGATGGTTAACTGCTCTGTGCTATAATTTATTCATTTGTAAAATGGTAATACTGTGGCAGAATAAAAATTGACACATTCATTGATCCACCTCCCCATCAAAGGGTGGAATCTACATCCTTTCCCCTTGACTTTGACTTTGACTAGTAGAATATAGTAAAAGTACTGTTGTGCCAGTTTCTGAACCCAGGCTTTACTGGTTGATTTTACTTCATCTCTTGGGATACTCTCTCTGTTTTTAGAATTTCATTGGAAATTACTTTAGTTACCCTGTTCAGACCCTACACTGTTCTGTTAAAAAGTCTGGCTACTCTGCCCCAGGGACACTTGGAGAGGCTCAAGGACAATATAGAAAGGGAGAGGTACCCTGCTGAGCCCAGTCTTCTAGAAATGCCCACCAAGACACCAGACATTTGAGTGAAATAGTTTTGGATCCTCTAGAACAGCCACCAGCAGATTGCTATACAGAACAGAAGAATCGACCAACTGAGCACCTGCCTAAATTCTTGACCCAGAAAACCATGAGATGTAATAAAATGGTTGTTTTAAGCCACTGAATTCTATTATTTATATTACTCTTGAAAATTCATATAAAAGACTACGGGCACAGTGAATATAGAAAAGCCCTCCACCAACACTCATCTCGACTGAAATTCAGATAACCAAGTCTTGTTAAAATAGTGAAAGTGAGAAATGCTTTTTCAATTTGTTCATTAAAAAGCAGATACTCTGCAATCTACATTCTGTGGCCTCAGTCTAAATTTAATTTAAAATTAACAAAGGGTAACATAAAAAAAAAGCTATTTGGAAACTTAAAATCACCTGTATTATAATTCCTGCACTAATTTTTTTTTTAAATCCATCGTAGTTTTTTGTTTTTTTTTAAAACGTTCAAATTGTCCTATCTTTGGCCAGTGAGTATTCCCTCAAACGGACTTATATGTCCTTTTGTCAGGACCCACTATAACTTTTGATAGCTTTTATTTTTCTGACCAATTGGTCATCTGCAGAGCATATTAAAGACATTTATTAATAAAAGGGGAAAATGGAGCACTTGTCTTGCCTTTCCTTTATGAACTTTAAGACAACCAAAAGCTGGTGAAGGAAGTTCTTTTTTACTAGAGAAGTCTAGCTAATAAAAGTGAAAAGAATGATAGAATTTGAAAAATCACCCTTTTATTTATGAAATAATGGATCTTGGTGGTGATATCAATGGATGCAAAGACCATTAGGTAAAAAATTGATAGAAAGCTTTCAGTAGATGGAACAGAATGACAACCCACTAATCTGTTTTCACATCTGTAAATTAGATCAACCAGGCTATGTGCTTCTTGATATGATACAGTGGATGTAAACAGCACCACCTGTGAAGTATTTCTGCCTAAAATATTGACTCAGAAGTATAATTTAGTCTCTAAATGTAATTACCGGTTTACAGGAAACTTGGGAAAAAATAAATGATATAAAGAAGCAAACAAATCCAGAACGTGGGAAATTCCACAAAATTAGTGGCCTAGTTTCTTAACCAATGTCTGTCAAGACTAAAAACAGAATCTAACAAGAGACTTAAGAGACATACCAATTAAATACAGTGTGTGGAATGTGCTGGGACCCTTTTGTAAAAACGTATCCAGGATTTGTTTTAATCAGGTATGGTAAGATAGGCAGACAAAAATGGTTGTCATACAGAAGTTTATGCTCAGATCAGTAGAAATAGACACTGCATGCCACTCAGGTCCACATAGGGAAGCCTCCAGTTCTGTTGGGAGGCAAAAAATAGGTTACAGCAGAGCATGCTCAGAGCCTTTACTGAAGTTTTCCTGTGAAGGAATGGGCAACACTGAGTAGGTACACTGGACAAGGGTTGGATAGGCTGAATAATTTTGGTAGACTCTGAGCTATAGGGGTGGTCCCTAGTTGCCTGGTACCTGGCCTTGGAGTGATTTAGGGCAGGGGGAATATTAGCTCGGTGTGTGAGAGTTTGATAAAGGAGATGATTTGGGATATGGGATTTGGATTGGTATGTATAACAAAGGCATGATTGCAGTGGAGTCCTTTGTTGTCTCTAGGAATTTGCTAGCTCTGGGAGGGGTAGTCTCTCCAGGGTCAAGTCCCTAAATGTCAGAGCATCGAGAATACAGAAAAGAAAATATAATCAATAGAATCCTGATTTGGACAAATAAATTTTTAAAAATTTAGATTATTGTAAAAGTGTAAACCTATAGAGTGGGTATTATACTAAGCAATTATTCATTTTCTTAGGCATGATGATGACATGAGGGGTGTGTGTGTGTGTGTGTGTGTAGGTCCTTATGCACAAGAGATTCATAGTGAAGTATTCAAGGGTAAGATTATATGATGTCTATGGTTTGCTTTCTACAAGTTCAGAGAAACAAAAGGTGGGAGGGATAGATGAAACAAAATTGACAACATTACTAAGTGTTGAAGCTGGATACATAGGGTTCATTGTTCTATTTCGCCTTTGCGTATATATGAAAATTTCCATAATAAAGTTTTTAAAATAGAAAATCATATCTGAAATTTTAGACTCTTACTGGTAAATGATAATGTGATGCCTACAAATAAAAATTTGTGGGAAATCACCAAAACTTTCATTGGTAGAAAACTAATTACCTTAATGCGTTCAGATAACCTGGATTGAGCAACTAGTGTTTGTCTTGTTTACCATGCAGTCCCCATTCCTACAGTGCCTGTCATGTAACACTTGATAAAAGTGTTAAAAAATATAATAAGCATTGGCTTAAGCCAGAAAATAATTTAAAAAAACCAGCTAAGATAGGTAGCAGAAGGTAATCCATATGGTAAAAGTAGAAATTAATGGAATAGCTAAGAGTAGATGTTCTCTGAAAAGACCATTAATATAGAATTGGCACTAATTATTGAGGAAAAAGATGACTCAGTTATAACTTTATATATGGGAAAGGTGAAATAGATACCTATATTAAGAAGATTTAAAAATTCTTAAGTTATATATATTAATATATTATTTGTATTTCAATATTTATAAAAATATAAAGAATGAATTGTCTAGAGAAACCCAGATTATCAAAGTTGACTCAAGAAACAATAAAAAACCTGAACGGATCTATAAACAAAGGAAAAAATATAAATATAGTTACAATCTTGTTTTTTCAAAACTAGAATTAATAGTTTTGCAGGCAACCAGAAGTTTTAAAGAATTGATAACCTCTAATAAAATTTCGCAGGTCATTCTATAATGCAGTATCCCAGGATAACCCCTAAACAGTAAAGTCTGGACCAGTATCACTTAAGATACATACAAACATTCCAAATAAAGTTCAGTAAATTGAATTCGGTAGTATGTTAAAACAATTATAAAACGAAATGATCTACCAGGAATATCCAGGGGACTGACCTGTTGTGATTTAATTAGGTATCCAGATTTTAGGTTTTCTAAGGAGCAATGTAACAATGTTGGAAGAAGTGACATGATCCAACCCCAATATCTGTTAGATTCTCTTATTTTTGCTTATTTTCATCAGCTTCACAAAAAGAATGAACAATAGATATGAAAAGTAAGCATTCAACACTTAGGAACCTTTCACAAAATAAAAATGAGTATTGTCGCACATTTTGAACCAGACTTTTGTAATGTTTGCAGCCATACATTAAGACTTGATACCTGCAAGTCCATTTTGCTCAGAATGGGCAGATTGGGGAGATGTCATTGCATAAACATTTACCATCTAGAATAGTACATATTTCCCACTCATGATTTCAAATTGTTTTTTTAAATTTGTAAACAGTACATACAATGTTTACACAAAAATGTAATACTGAAAAAGTATGATAATTGCTGTAATAATATTAATTTTTGCTAATAGGTCAATGTGTTTTGCCTCCATGGTTACATTTTATGTTAATAGAGGTCTTCTGGAGACAGTACATTAACTCGAAATTTCTGAAAGTATGTTCCACAGAGCAGTAGTACTTAAAGGTACTTGAAGAATGATTTTGTGGTCAAACAAGCATGAGAACTCTGTGTACTATATTTCTTGGGGGGGAAAATTCACATTAAGTGCCTATCAAAACACTATGAAAGAATGTTTCATTTTCTCTAACCCAATGTATATCAGACTTTTCTATAGAACTCCTATTCCCAATACTTATTGCAGATGTGATTCCACTTTGGTAGATGTTGCCATACCATAAATGGTGGCTTCAAGGATGGAAATGTCAGGGTTATGGCAAGTATATATATGGTTGTCTGTATGGCAAGAAAAGCAGCTCATCATGCTATCCAACTGGCCAATTTCTTTAAAAAAAAATTTAATGGTGCTTTTCAATAGACTAGAAAACCTCTAGCCCTATTTCAATAACTCTATTGTATGTATATAGGCCTTTTATTGGTAATTTTTACATTATATACAACTCATTGAAAAATATCTTATGGAATATCTGTGTGTTTCTTGTAATACATAGGCAAGTGTTTCTCTGAGGTATTTATCAAAAAGGGGGATTGCTCAGTCACAGGTAATATTCACTTTCGACCTCACTAGATATTCCTGGAGAAGTGGAGAACATCATTGTGTTGCCAATTTACAACCCCTTCAGCCAGCGAAATATTTCATTATATCCCCACTTCTAGCATGTATTTTGATATATGCCTGGTTAATAGTTGAGCATCTTTTCACATCTGTTTATTGCTAAACACTGATTTGCCAATTCATGTCTTTTGCCTATATTCCTATTTTAAAGAACATTCACATAAGAATTGTGGGATCCTTTCTAGTATTAATGATGACCTTACCTTCTCCCAGATTATGGCTTATATTTGTATTAATGGTGATATTGTCACATTAAAATTTTAAATATGGATACAATCTTAGCTTTCATTATTAGCCAATAATCTTTTAAATTTAGTTTGTTTTTTTTACTAGACTTTTAGTTTTCTAGGCAGTTATGTCAACTGAAATAGATATAATTTTCTGAATATTTACAGTGATTATTAATTATTATTATGGTAATAGAATTTCCAGAATAAGATTTAGGATTAGTGGTGATAGCAGGCATCTAATTGTTTTCTCCAATTTAATAGAAATCATTGAGTGTAATGTTTGTTCTAGATTTGAGGTAAATAGACTTTGTGTGGCTCAGTTGTTTCTTTCACTTCCTAATTAACTTTTTATTATTAGAAATGTCTGCTGAATGTTGTCAGATGCCATTTGGGCACATTGATATTTTTTTTCTTGAATTTGTTAATGCGGTAAGTTGTACTTTGGTCATTAAGGCAGTATGGTATTGATGCAAGAATGAACAAATAGACCAATGAAACAAAATTAAGAGTCTTGAAATAGACCTACATATATGTGGTAATTTAATTCATGACAAAGTTTCCTTTGCAATGTAGTTGGGAAATGGTCTTTTCAGCAAGTAGCACTGGGTGAGTTGCATATCCATATTGATAAATTAATCTCAACTGTTACCTCTCTCTACACACAAATCAATTCCAGATACAGTTTTAGATAGAACTCTAAAAGCACTAACCATATGGGAGAAATGGTAAATTTTACTGTATTAAATTTAATAATATATTTTCATCAAAGTCATCATCAAAAAAATGAAGAGACAAGCTACAGAATGGGAGAATATATCTACTATACATATTTGACCAAGGATTCATCCAGAATATATAAAGAACCCCTACCAATCTATAAATGACAGAAAACCAAATAGGAAATGGGAAAAAAAAAAAACTCAAATAACTACTTTTTTTAAAAAAGGATATATCAAATGGCCAATGAAACGTCAAAAGGTGTACAAGTTCATTAATTATCAAGAAAATGGAAAACTTAAAACCACAATGTGAAATGACTATATACCCACCAGAATATCTAATGACGAAAGTATGTAGAAAGTGTTTGTGCATTATGCACACCTACAGTGTGCCACAGAGTGCTCTAGCCTTCGTCAAATATGCTAGTGAATATTAAAGATCCCCAATCTTCAGGAAAATCTGGGGAGCAGACAACCAGTGAGTACCTAAGAAAATTGATATGGGCCACAAAGAGAAAAGATGTCAGAAAGGAGAATTACTGGAGGGGGACAATTCAGTCAGTCATTTCATCTGAAGTATGTACAGTCGTCATAGTGGTAACGGTACAGGTTTTACACAAGAATAGCCAGGCTAACCCTGAAAAAAGCCACAAAGGATACAAGTCCTATCAGACATTGAAAAATACTAAAAAGTTCCTATAATCAAAATGATGCACTCATGCATGAAGAAACCAGTAGGATAGAACAGAAGGTCCATAAATAGACCCAAATTTACAGGAGATTTTTTTCCCATTTCCTATTTGGTTTTCTGTCATTTATACACTTTTCTTGAGTATATCTTTTACTTTGGGAATCATGTTAATGTTTTACATATTTTTTAAAAAGGGAGAGACCCTAAATCACAAAGAAGCAAAAACAAATATTTCCCTCACACTAATGGAGAAAAAAGAATTAACCCAAGTAACTTTTGAACACAATATGATCACACTTGCTTAGGCTAAGACAAAAAGAAAACAACTAAATAATTCACTCCAATTAGTAGGATTGATTTACACAGTGATATAGATTAACAATTCTGAAACTTCTCTTTCATGTATTCTAGAATCAAAAAATATTAATGGAGTAAGTAAATATAATGAGAGCCAATTTTATCGTTGGAGAATTTGCAGAGGAGGCTAGAATGAACCCTCTGGTCGTGCTGGATTGCATCTGGTGGTATCAATATAAAGTTATGATTTAGAAAAGTATATAGATAAATATAGACATACATATAGATGTGTGTACATGTATACATATATTTGTGACATATACATATATGTAAATATGCAGTTATATATATACAGATAGGCATGTAGATAGATGAGAGAGAGAGAGATTCCTAGCGGAGAGGAAAGAAGCAATGACATCCCAGTAGCAATGAGAATATCTAGAACCCATATCGAAGGAAGTAGGGCTCTTTGGAAAAAGAGCATATACCAGCATTGATATATACCTTGAGTTGTTTGTTGTTTTTACAAGAACTTAAAAAAAAACCACCAGATAGAAAACTGGGGACTCTTCTGACCACAGCGATGTAAAACCCGGGCTGAAGGAGGATTGATGACCAGAACTCCTAAAATCTCTCTTTGTAACTCCAGCTCCAACCAATCAGAAGATAACCCATGAGCTAACCGTGAGTTGAAAACCCCTACCCCCAATTTTACCCTTGAAAACCAATTGCCAATAAGCAGCCCCGGGGAGTTCTGTTCTTTGAGCATTTTGGCTGCCTGTTTCATTGGTACCTAAGAAATGAAGTTTGTTTTTTTTTCCTTTCGCTGTACCCCGCTGTCAGTGTAATTGGCTATGTGCAGCTGCAGGGTGGACAAACTCTTTGCTGGGTTACAGTTTTTCAGTAGTTTCTGACATTGTCATTACCATAAAGATATTTTATAAAAGTTCAAGTCATAAATTACATAATGTTATAAACAATTAAAATACAGGGTATAGTACATCTTGGGCCACTTTTTCAATTTGTGAACTTAATGCAAAGTGCATCCATGAGATATAATTCTGTAACAAATTAAATCTCCAGAAATGTGTTGAGAAATGACATGGATTTAACTCCTGGTGGAGCGGTTAGTTTTTACTGATTTTAAAATTTACTAAAATGAAATGTTAATAACGAAAAGGTTAGTATGGCTGGTTTTAGAGAAGTAGCTTTTATTCTACTAAGGAAAACAGCAAGACATCAGAGACAACTAAAAACAGTACAGACTTAGAAAGTAATGAAAATATCTGAAAGAAACTCTTGTTCTGCATGCCTGTGATGATTTGAAGATCCAAATTCTCTTTCAAAACTGAACAACATAGGAAAATAGGTAATCCGAGGAAACTCATATTTCAGAAAATCAGTGAGCGTGAAAGCAATATCCTTTCCAAAACTCCTTCTACTGAATCTTAGCTAAGTCAGACGTTAATTCTCTGGTGCTGCTAAACAAGGAAGGTGAGCAACATTTACTATGAATGACATAGGGCCTAGGCATGAGAACTACATAAATGGATGAAATGTAGACAGAGCCTACAACGGGCTGCTGCCAGACCACAGG